AATAAAAGTGTAGGGCCAAATGCCAATCAAGAGACTGTTGGCTCAATCAGCCTTTTGCTCATCCACCCCGTGGTGAACTGGTACCTTCTATAGGATATTTCTCTTCTGTTCACTCTACAAGTACTATTGAGCACTCATTATGCACTGGATAATGAGAAGATTGCAATGAACAAGGCAAACACAGACCCTGCCCTCAAAGCAAACACAGACCCTACTTATTGTTTACTGGGAGACATGGGCAATACATAGGTAACCAAACAAGAGTGGGACAATGGATATCCCGAGGGGAAGACTATTCTGAGCTGCTTTTGATGGTGAGGCTAAAGGATGAGAAGAAGCCAGAAGGAAGTGCCTAGATTGACCTAGTCAGAGGGAGCAGTTCTGTGAGAGGCCAGGGTCAGTGTGGCTGGAGGAGGTTAGCGAAGCGGGCAACCAACCACGCTGGACTCCCAGTCCAGGCATGATAAGAGGTCCTGGTTCCATTCCAACATAATGGGGAGCCACCAAAGAGTTTAAGGCAGGAGAGTGGTTGGCCTGATTTGTGTGTTAAAAAGATGACGGTGGCTATGGTATGGGGGGTTAGATTGATAAAAGAGAGAAAGAAGCCTCTTCAGAGATGGTGGCAGTGGGAGAAGAAAAAGGAGAATGATCTGAAAGATCTGAAGAGGTAGAAATGGCGGAGTTGGCTGATCAATTAGATATGAAGACAATGGGGTGGGAAAACCAAGGCTGGCACCAGGGTTCTGGCTTCACTACCTGATTGTGCATTGCAGGGCAGGGGGGCTGAGCGATCGATAGTTCCATCAGAGATGACTGTACAGGTGCAAGGAGAGACGTCAGGTAGGCAGTCAGATATATGAGTCTGAGCTTGGACTGGGGATTTGGGTAGGAGATATAAATTTGGGAGTTGTCAGTCTTGAGAATGAATATTATCCCTTAGTGAAAGGGGACAGGGAGGGGAGAAGGGGGCCCAGGACCAAGCCTGGGGACTCCAACATCAAGAGGGCAGAGAGAGGAGGAAGACCTACATGGGAAAAGGAGGGGGAAGCAGGGAGAGAGAAGGAAAACCAGAGGAGGGTGGCAACCTCAGGAAAAAGAGAACAGTGTTTTAAGAGGGAGGTGGTATGGTGGAGACTAAGGGAGATTGTGGCCCTTGGATGTGGCCACAGAAAAACTCCCAATGACAGTAACAAGAGTGGCTCAACTGGAAGCGGTGGGGAGAGGAGAGGGTGGATTGGGGTGGGGTAAATGGGTAGAGAGACTCTGGAGACAGCCTGTGAAGACAACTCTGAGAACTTAAGTTATAAAAGGCAATAAAGAAATACACCCACCCACAGAGGATGAGCGATCAGGGTGGGATGTTTTTGAGAGAGAAATACTAGATTGTGTTAGGAAACTCAAAACGATCACTGGAGAGTTCTCGAGATTGTGCTTTGGTTGTTTTTGTAATAATGATGAGAACATACAACTGTGTAACTCTTCACAGTTTACCAAGTGTTGTCACACACTCTTATCCTCACAGCCATCCTGTGAGTTATGTAGCAATAGATGTAGTAGAAGTAATGAGGAAGCTGATGCTTAGAGAAATGAGTATCAAGCTCGAGGTCAGCACCAGAAAGTGGCAAAGCCAGAAGCCCACACCCAGGCTACTCTGGACCCAACCCTCAGGCCCCTCTCTGCTCATAGCATTCCTATCCCAGCAGACTGGCACCAACATTGGATGGCACTCACATAACTGTGCGTTGTGCCCTGTTGGTACCCCTCAAACAGACTTCCCAATTGCCTCCAAGTCATCACTTCTGCCTGCTGGCTTAGCCTTGGAGATGATGAAGTTACATCTGCTTTTTAAGAACATGGACCCTGTCCCACTCCTAACCCCATTTCACTGAGTTTCAAAGCCTCCCGAACTTCTAGAATTGCCCTCACAATCTCTGGCAGGTGTCACAGAGAAGAAGCATGAAATCTCACATACCGTACATCCAGCTCCCCAGGCCGATCTGTGTGGGATCTGACATCCTTTTTGTAACTCACTGATTTAGTCCAAATCTCTTGTTTTGTTGAAGAGAAGCCCAGAACATGGGTTTCTGACCAGCCAAAGTCACAAAACTAACCTCTGGCAGCGTCAAGACCTGCGAGAAACAAATAAAATCAAGGATGAGAAGGTTCTTTGTAAATAGTGAAGTGCTGTAGAAATATAGGGTTATTATCACCACTGTTTACATGAAATCCTCAGGCATTTTTCACCATCACTACTCTGGGGGAGGCTGTCAGAAAAAAATTTAAACATGCAGAGAACTGCCCGACCAATGTGGCTCAGTGGTTGAGCGCTGACCTATGAACCAGGAGGTCACGCACGGTTCAGTTCCCCATCAGGGCATATGCCTGAGTTGTGATCCCTAGTTGGAAGCGTGAGAGGCTGTTGATCAATGGTTCTCTCTCATCAGTGATGTTTCTCTCTCTCTCTCTACCCCTCCCTTCCTCTCTTAAGGTCAATAAAAAAAAAATTTTTTTAAATGCAACCCTAGCTGGTTTGGCTCAGTGGATAAAGCATCAGCCTGTGGACTGAAGGGTTCCAGGTTCGATTCTGGTCAAGGGCACATACCAGGGTTGTAGGCTTGATCCCCAGTGAGAGGCCATGCAGGAGGCAGCTGATCAATGATTCTCTATTATCATTGATATTTCTCTCTCTCCCTCTCCCTTCCTCTCTCCCTCTCTCTCTCTCTCTCTCTCTCTCTCTCTCTCCCTCCCTCCCTCCCTCCCTCCCTCCCTCCCTCCCTCCCTCCCTCCCTCCTTCCCTTCCCCTCAGAAATACATGTTTTAAAATGCAGAGGACTAAGAGTGTTGGCATCATAAGCAACATGGAAAGAACATAGGATTTGGACCCTGGAGATGGTTAGAGGCCCAGCACTGCCGTGTGAGCTGTGTAACCTTGGACAGCTCACATAGCCTCTCTGGTTTCTTTTTCTATAAAAATGCCTTCCCTACCTTCTTTCTGGGATTATGTGGGGTTCAAGTGAGACAATGCTTATGAAAGTTTTAATGAGGCTCAGAACCCTGGGACTAAGTGTCTTGTGAGGAGCACTAAGGATAGTGGCAAACAGAAGACCCCGAGGCTTGGAGGACTAGTGTTGAGCTCCCAGAAGGCACTTCCTGTCCCTGGGGGCTGGGGCCAGCTGCTGACAGTGCTGGAACCCAAGGGTACTGTCTCTCCTGCCTAGAAGCGTCCCCTGGGTCATGCCTTGTCCTTCACACAGCCCTCAGACAATCTTTGTCAAGATGTCTAATGTGCGACCTTCCATCACCCAGTGCTGACTCAGCCCCCCGTGAGCTCCGTCTCCCCTTTTCACACTCTGTGGGTGCCAGAAGGCTCCTGGCCAGTTGCTCAGCATCCCCCAAATTTTACTGGCTCTGCACTTGGTGATGAAGGAGAGGGCCAAATTGGATCTGTTTCAAAGAAAGCAAGAAGTGATTTCTCTCCAAGACCTTGGGGAGTTCTTCCCGCCCTCTCCGTGTTCTCTGTCCCGGACCATCCAGAGGCTGGCAGCTGAACTCAGGATGCTCATGCTCGGGTTAGAACAAAGGCAGGAGACCAGGAATGGAGGCTGGCCAGGTTCCTTTGGAGAGCCTGGCAAGCTGGTTTCCCAGGAGCAGTCAGAGGCCTTCACACATTCATGGCTGTGCTGTCCCGGGAGGTGACCTTGGGCATGCCACTTTCTCCAGGTGGAAACATGAAGGGAAGAGATCAACCGTGGGACACCGAAACCCTTATGACTTAACAGTGAGCTCTGGGGTCTCACTCATTCAGTCACTCAACAAATATTTATCAAGCACCTCTGTGTGCCAGGCTCTGTTGTAGGCCCTGGGGGACAACACAGACAGGAAGTTCTGCCCTTATGGAGCTGACATTCCAGTGGGATCAGACAGAGAAGGAACAGGCAATCAAGAAGAGACAATGGTCAGCTGGTGGTAACAGCCATGGGGAAAGGGAGGTAGGAGGGAGGAATAAGGAGGGCAGGGTGGAGGTGGTTGCAAGTTTCAGGAATGTGGGCAGGAGGGCCTCACTGAGAAGCAACAATTGAGCCAGGGCCTGAAGGAGGTGAAGGAAGGGGGCAGCCATGTGGAGATCTGCAGGAAAAGCATCCTGGGCATAGGGAGAAGCAAGAGCCCAGGCCCTGAGGCAAGACCGTGCTTAGGGCTATGGGGCTGCGGGAGTGAAACAGGGGAGAAGAGGACTGATGAGAACTTTAATCTTTTGGTTAAAGCCTGGCAGGTTCAGCTAATGCCTTTAGATGTATTCGTAATCTCCCTTCTGAGATGCGAATTTCGCACATACTGTTGAAATGCTGGGGCCTCTGTCAGGAGAGAGTCATCCCTAACCTCATCCACAAAGACTCTGCTCCTCGGCTCAGTCACGCAAGGGCTCTTAGGATAGCAAACAGGGCCCGGGTCCTAGCCCCAGCACCTGACCCCTATTAGCTGTGTTACCTTGGGAAGGGCACTGAACTTCCCTGAGCCTTTGTTTCCCTGATGAAGCTCACCGGTTGCTCCATCTGTAAACTGGGTTTATTATACAGCCTTCCTCCCCTCCCTCTCCTAATTGTTGTTAGATTTAAAGGAATGAGATCCTAAGAATGAAAGTGGCTTTTACATTGAAATGGGCAAGCTAAATGTCTGGGAGGTTCCTGTTTTCTTCAGGGCAGCCCGTGGTAAAAGGCTTGTCACTGGTTTTCCACTCCCCTCCACTCCCCTGCCTCTTCTGTTGTGTTCCCTGGGGCCCAGTGGACTCTCACTTGGCCGGGCGGCCCATATCTGACTCATGGACACTCATCCAACACCCAGGGACCCCCCAGGGCAAGCTGCTGAGGACTCCCCAGGAATCCTGTTGGGCCGAACTTGCCCACAGTGACCTCTTCGGGAGGACTCTGAGCCCTTTGCTGGTCAGGCGGAGGCAGGTGGCCCAACGGCTCCTCCCCAACGTTCCCTTCCCCTCCCCGCTGCAGGTACAACGGCCCCAACCTGGTTCTGAAGTACGACCGGGCCCAGAAGCGGCTGGTGAACATCGCCGTGGACAAGCGCAGCTCCCCCTACTACGCGCTGCGGGACCGGCAGGGCAACGCCATCGGGGTCACAGCCTGTGACATCGACGGGGATGGCCGGGAGGAGATCTACTTCCTCAACACCAATAACGCCTTCTCAGGTACGGGTGTGGGGCCTCGGGCCTCCTCCTGCTCTCCACCTTCTTCTCCCAGAACCACCTGGGGCAGGGCCTTGGGGACCCGGGCCGCCCTAGACATCGTCCCCCGCTGCCTCCAGGGCCTTGCTCTGTCCCCGCAGGAGAGCCCCTTCTCCTCATGTGCCTGCAGCTGGCCCTCATCTCCTGGCGGCTGGGCCTGGAGATGGAGGGCCTTGAGCCAAAGCCCGGTTCTTACCTTCAGATGCTGTCCTTTGGCCTCCCTGTAGGAACAGTCCTCCAGTCCTCCGAGCCCCTCCTTCCCGCTCCCTCTCCACTGCTCTGGTCAGGCTCAGCCACGCAGCACGTCTCACCCAGGTGGCCACAATAGCAACAAATGGTCCCTGTAATTGCCCTTCGTGCTGTTTCAAGGGGGCCTTTCTAAAATGCTCTGAAATCCTTCAGTGGCCCCACATCTTTCGGCGTAGCTCATTTATTCACACCACAGATTCCTGCCGAGCACCTACTCCATGCCAGGGGTGCTGGGCAATGGGGGTACAACTTTAAGGAAGACAGACCTTGAGTTCACGGAGCCTCTTCTAGCCCAGAGCGTCCATCCTGGTCACCTGAGGGTGATGTGTAAATGTGGATTCCGACTCAGCAATCAAGTAGGGCCCAAGGCCCTGCCCTGCTCACATACTCTTGGGCTGTGATGATGCCGACGGCCTAGGGACCACACTTTGAAGGGAGGAAGTCCTAAGGAAGGGAGGAAGGAAACCGATGCACAGAAGGCTCAATAATGGTAACAATGATGATAACAGGAAGTCCTTAAATAGCACCTACTGAAGCACGCCATGATCTAAGCACTCTATCATGATTACCTCACTTAGGCCTCACGGTGGCTTGATTAGGTTAGCTACAGGTGTAACTCACTTCTTAGCTGAGGAAACTGAGGCACAAAGAGGTCACATGACTTTCCCAAGGCCTCACAACCTTGTAAATACCAGGACTCAAATCTAGGGCTCTGACTCCAGCTTTATCTTTTTCACCAAGACACTCTATGGCCTTACTAAGCCCTGTATCTTCAAGGCCTAGCAGAGAGCCTGGCTCCTATCGGGTACTCAGTATTTCTCGAGTGGGGGGGGGGGCCTGTGTTTTGGGGCTGCAGGTGGCTCCCAGCCCCTAACTCTCACATCCTCTAGGGCTGCCTTCGATCCACTAGGATGAAGTCTTCTCCTGTGGGGCCCTCACATCTGCAGGGGAGTCCCAGGCCAGGGCGTCCTCCTGGAGGATGCGGGACCGTATGTCTCTGTGAGGCCAGCTCGGATGTGCACTGGATTCTTCCAGGTGGTGGCAGGCTCTGGGGCTGGTCTGACTGATACCATATGCTTCATAGCTGTGTATTCAAGGTCCTAACCTCCTGGGGGCAGGTGATTGCCTGACTGTGAGAACCACCTTCTCTTCCTCTCCCCCACCCCCACACTGGCTGTCCCCAGGGCCCATAATATGACCCCTGCTGGTGTGGAGCCCAAGCCAGGATCCAGACCCTAGACTGCCTCTTATGTTGAGCCCTGCCAGTTGCATGAATGGGAGGGGACGAGGTTAGAGATGAGGTTGGGGCTGGTGCCAGGGGCAGGGGCGGGCAGGGCTGGCTGGCTGACCGCCAGTCTTGTGCTGTCAAGAAACAATGAGCCACAGCCCCTCGTGGTGTTTTATGGGTTTTCATCTCATCTTGCCACCAAGTGAGGCCTGAGAGATAGTAATTATCCCTACACAAATATCAGGGCATGATTACCCAGCTGGATTTACTGCCCTCTCTCCAACCAAGCCAAGATTGGATTAGGGCGCAATTAATTGATGGGCTGATCAACCCTTTAATGTGGGACAATGTCAGGAGGGGAGCAGCGGCAAGGGATGGCTGAGGAAAGGGTGAGTCCGCAGGAAGATGCTGGAGGGCAGGGAGACAGAAACAGGGGGAACTCTGGGAGGGGGTGCTCAGCACAGGCTCTGTAGGCAGGACGCCAGAGGAAGGGGCGGGCTCTCCTTCCTCCTCACTGAGCACAGCACCCGGGACCGGACCTGTGAGGCGTCTCTCAAGCAGCAGCCCCTCCCACTCTTAGCCTCTTCCATTGTGAATCCTAGAGCCAGTGGCGCAAGGCCATTAGAAACCCCTGGGGAGCTTCTGTCAGTCCCAGTGCCCAGTGGGTACCCCGGTCCAGCCCAATCCAAACCTCTGGGGATGGAACTCAGTCATCAAATTTCCATGTGTATTGGAGAAGGGGGGCCACTATCCCAGAATCACCTTAGTTCCATGCTCAGCCTAACCGTAGCCCCTTTCCTTCACGAATGCATGCATTCATTCATTCAATACATGCATTCAATATTTATTAAGCACCTACTGTGTGCTAGGCACTATTCTAGGCACTGGGAATGCCCCAGTGAATGAAACAGAAAAATCCTGCCTTTAGGAAGTTTACACTCTGTCCCCTACATGACCTTATATTTCCCTAGGTACCTGACTCCCCTCTCCCGACTCCTTGGACTCTAAGCTCCTTGAAGGCAAAATCCCTGTCTTGATCATTTTATGCATTCCTCTGGACCAGCCAGAACGTGAGCATCCTAACAGCACGATTAAGACTTGATAAGTGACTCCAGAAGAACAGACAAGACACAAGCCATTAGGCCTGAGAGATGGTTTTGCCAACAGAGGACAAAGTAGGGGAGACAGGCAAAATGGAGTCCTCCCTACCCTTCCCTGCAAGGTCCTGGGCTTCCTGGGTTTGAGGGCACACATGTTCCTCAAAGAGGCTGGGGCTGGGCCCCCAGGGCTGGGAGGGTGAGGAAGATGGTGCCCCGAAGCCTCAGGCTCAGGCGTGTACCTCCTCGTGACCTTCTGTGGGTTGAGGGATGTCTGTGAGTTTGAGTTAATTTTTCAGTTGAGTGATCCAATTGATTCATCGACAGTGGGCGGGGTGTGGACTCCGGAATTTGTGCTGTGTCAGCACTTCCCAGGATCCAGCTGGCATTGCCACCCTACCCACCGCGGTAACCTGAGATCCTCTCCAGGAGCCCCCAGCCAGCCCCCACCTGCCCTGGCATATGACTGGGGGCTCTGTTAGGCTGTGGCAGAGCATTAGAAGGACCTGTGGCAGGACAGTCCCTGTCCTCTCGCTCAGCCAGCCCTCGGAACATCAGTACTGGAGTGCCTGGAAGAGGGCCGAAACCTGCATCCTGGCAGTGCCACGAGAGAGTCAGTCTGTATAACCTGGGATCCTCCCTTTACTTACTGAGCACTTTGGTCAGGATATTTGATCTCTCTCAGTCTCAAACCCTTCATCTGTAGAACAGGAAAAATCATGTGAATTTCATAAGCTCTGATGTGGGGGACAAGAAGAGATAAACCAAAGAACTTATATACTTACTAGAGGCCCAGTACACAAAAATTCATACAAGGGTAGGGTCCCTAGGCTTGTCCTGCAATCTGGGCCAATCTGGCTGCTGGCCAGGGCCTTCCTTCATTCTGTGCCACCCCTTGTGGTCACCACATGTCATAGCGAGCGATCAAACTCCCAGTCTCCCAGTCAAACTCCCGAGGGGACACTTTGCATATTAGCCTTTTATATATGTAGATATGCATAGCCCATGGACACAAGGTGGTGAAGACCTGGCAGGGGTGGATAGGGGCTGGGAGAACAGGGGTAAAGGGGATTAAACAGGAGACATCTATAATACTATAAACAATAAAAAACACACATTAAAATTGTTTTTCATAAGCTCAGCTACAATGTCTCCGTAGAATCTTGCCAAAGCCCTGACCTTTGCCTACAGAACGCCTCCTGCCATGAGCCAGGTTGCCTTTCTGACCTTGTTTCCCCCACTTTTCCTTTTATGGAATGCAACTCTTCATTGCATTCCCACCCGAGGCTTTCGAGCATGCTGTTCCCTTTACTTGCTTTTCCCACCACTGTTCTCAGGGCTCACTCCTTCCCTTCACTCAGGCCCCTCCTCAGATGAGCACCTTAAAATCGTACCCTTATCACTGCTTTACCCTCCCCTGGCTTTATTCCTCTTCATAGCCCATACCATTGCCCGAAAGCATGTGATGCATTTGTTTGCGGTTCGCCTCTGCTCAACTCCACGGGTATGAAAACTTTCCTGTTCGCTGCTGTACCTCCAGGACCAACGTTCTGATGTCACTCAGTAAACATTTAATACATACATTTAAGTGGACAAATGAGATCATGAAGGGAAGGCACGTTTAGTGTCTGGGACTGAAGAAATGCCCTCTACGCAGTGGTTGTTCTAACCCTGTGGCATGAAGAAAGCCAGAGCCTCTAGCAGTGTCCTGGGCAGAGGTTTCAGAGGCCTCCCTCCTGGCCCTTGGGAAGAGAGACTCTAGGAGCAGAAGGAGAAAAGGACCATCGTGTAAACGGCTGGCCACCCAGATGATGGTTCCAGATGGGCATGGGTCAGGGGTTAAAAATTGGAGAGTGGCCGAAACCGGTTTGGCTCAGTGGATAGAGCGTCAGCCTGCGGACTGAAGGGTCCCAGGTTCGATTCCAGTGGCGGGGGGGGGGGGGGGGTGCAAGAGGCAGCTGATCGATGTTTCTGACTCTCTATCCCTCTTCCTCTCTGTAAAAACTCAATAAAATATATATTAAAAAAAAAAAAAAAAGAGTTGGAGAGTAGGTGAGAGGGAGGGAACAGAGAAAGGTTAACCACAATCCCAGGAAGGCCAGGGTCTGAAAACCAGCTATGGCTGGACTGACCTGGAAAAATACAAGCCAGTGTGTTGCAGGCAATACTGACTTGGTGAGCACCACGTAGAAGAGCGTGCAGACCATAGTGGGGAGAAAAGGCTGGTCCCAGCACCTCCTTCCACACCCAGGAGCCCAGGGCCTCCTCCAGTTCCCAGTCAGAGCCCATCCCCCAGGAAGCCTGCACTGGCCACCAGCCACTGCCCTGCAGGGCCCTGAGCTCTCCTGCTCCTGTGATCTGGGGGTTACAGGGGTGTGCGTACTGGATGA